TGTAAAGTCCGGCCACAAATAACGAAGATATGGGCCTAACACGATTTTGCTGCATGGTCATGCTGTGACTTTGACCTTCACGGTAAGGACCCAAATGTTGCGCTCGAAACGTCGTCTCAAGATGGTGATCATTTCTGTGACATAGTTGTAAAATCCGACTTCAAATAACGAAGTTATGGGTGGGACACGATTTTGCTGCAAGGTCATGCTGTGACCTTTGCCTTCAAAGTAGCGACCCAAATGTTGCGCGCTACAGATCGTCTCAATATGGTGATCATTTCTGTAAAATAGTTGTTAAGTCTGACTTCAAATAATGCGCTGGACACGAATTCGGGACGTTCGGACGGGCATGCCAACAATTAGGATTTTTGTGCTTTTCTTTGATCTTTATGTGGCATTTTCCCCCATAAACCATCAACCACATAAACCAGTCAGTTTACGGGACTTCCTTCTTTGTTTAACTAAAATAATGGATGGAATGAAACACATAGACCATTGGATGTTCGCCCGGACAGACGGACTGACAGACTGACGGACGAACGGACAACTCGCCGACTATATGCTCTCCCAAATTCTGTTGGGGAGCATAAAAATAAAAAAATAAAAATACTACAAGTAATGCACATGCGATTCCATGACCATTTGCCTGTACATGTATAACCATAACAGTCGTTAGAAAACAGTTCAATGAACATGCGGAATACGTGCTGGTCTTCCAATTACAACTCATGTCAGATCAAAGACAGAAACCATTGATGTCAATAATGACCTTGTCAATCAACATTGAAAGCGTGTTAGTGACTTCCAGAAGACACTAGAAATAAATAAGAAATCTGCTTTCCACAAAGAACTAAGATTCAATGTATTTTCCGACAATACAACTTAATTTATGGACAATATTGGTGTTGATTGCGAATAATATATATATATATATATATATATAATTCATTGTAAAATGTAGTTTGTATTTGTATTGCAATCAATTGATACTATAAACGACGTAAATATTAAACAAATGCCTTGAAATACTGTTATATTCCACAAACGAAATGTCGATCAAATGTTAGTCATTTATAAAATCACATACATTATCATTTTCAAAATACACTTTAACGTAAACGACACAAAAGTAACGATAATGTAAGTTAAACGTTGTTTGGGCGTCCCTAGCCGAGTGGTTAAGTTCTTTAATTTCAAAACACTTGCTTCTCACAGTTGGAGCTTCAGACCGCGCAAGTGTCTTCGGCTTCTCTTATAACAGGAAGCTATCCAGCTGGCTAATGAAATGTCGTTATCTTTACTCAGTCTCCTTTTTGCGTCTTAAAATGCACACTGTGACACCTGAGGTATATTTCCAATAGAAGGGCTGGAAAGTCGCCATTTGACCATTACTATGTTGGTCCGACGTATCCCCCCAAGAAAAAAGAAACAAAACAAAAACAACAACAAAGAAACAAAGTTAACGTTTTATTGATAAAAGAAACATTATTATCATTTTCGTTGACAAGATTAGCTGAATTGGCTTCATATCTAAACATTTACTATTATAATTGCCATAAACCAATAATTGATAGTGAAAAATGTTATAAAAATACTGCCAAATGACCGTTAAATAGAATTGGACTACAACTGGCACATTTTGCATTAGAACTAGTATTTCAAACATTCAAATAAACTATAGTCATGTATCATTTTGATATGTTTTATAAAATGTTGCATGATCGAAACAAAGTTGATAAAGAGGAAAGTGATTATTTTAGTAAGCACATTGCTATGATGAGATATAATATTTTGTTCAAGAATAAGTGTCCTCATTGAATTCTGAAATTCCCGACTTACATTACACGACCAACCACTTTATCAACTTTGTTTCTATCATGCAACATTTCATAAAACATATCAAAATGATGTGATTGGGCACAAAATAGGCACAATTTTAATGAAACACTTCTAATATGTCACAAGAATTACTCTAAGTAGCATGTACGTAACATCAATGTTACAGATTTGTAAAAATTATCTGTGAAATTTTCATTTCATTCTCAACTCTCGTAACACTTGTAACAAAGCTGTAACAACTTTGCCTTTAAAATGGCCAAAAATCGGAATAAATAAGGTAACATAGGTGTTACAATGTTGTTACAGCATTGTTACAGGATTGTTAGAAGTGTTACAAGAGTTTGGAGTGAAATGAAAATTGCACACACATTTGTTTCAAATGTTACAGGTTGTTACAAGTGTAACAGCACAGGCCTTTAAAATGGTCAGAAATCGGAATAAATCAGGTTACATAGATGTTACAAGGTTGTTAAATAGTTGTTAGAACATTGTTACAAGTGTTACGAGAGTTTGTAGTGAAATGAAAATTTCACACATAATTGTTACAAATGTAACAGGTTTTTACAAGTATTACAGCACAAGCCTTTAAAATAGTCAGAAACCGGATTAAATAAGGTTACATAGATGTTACAATGTTGCTAAATAGTTGTTACAGCATTGTTACAAATGTAACGAGAATTTGGAGTGAAAAGATATTTCCACACATTATTGTTACAAATGTTACAGGTTGTTACAAGTGTTACAGCACAAGCCTTTAAAATGGTCAGAACTCGGAATTAATAAGGTTACAGATGTTATAATGTTGTTACATAGTTGTTACAGCATTGTTACAAGTGTTACAAGATTACGGATTGATATGAAAAATTAAGGCACAAAATTGTGTCAATATGTAAGGGAATAAATTCAAGCAAACTTGTTACAAATGTTACTGAATTTACATGCGTTACATAGGTGTTACTTAGTGTTACGCGAGTAACAAATGGCAAGTGTTTTATTAAATTGCGCCCATTTTGTGCCCTACGTGCCATCTTAACTCTATTCAATTCAAATTATATCACATGTTCAGTTTTCATAATTGAATGGGTCAATGCAAGATGGTACAACACTTTATTTTACATTATTTTGAGGAAAAAAAGAAAGGGCAGTTTAAAAAATTTAATTTAAATTGATATATCTTGAAAAACGAATCACTAATAAGTAATGTTATAAGTAAAAGAAATCATATATATAACAATTTATACTAGTCTTGTTTTTGTGTATTCCGCTTAAAGAAAAATAAATCTTATCCAGAAATTTATATAATAGTAAATAATCAACAGGATGACAAAACATCAATAAATTTTATACAACGCTTTTATTACCATCAATTATATCAAAATAACATGAAATACAATTAAAATGTTTAAATTGTAGATTGAATTATAATATCTTTACATATTGCAAAGAACAAAAACAGCCCTTATTTTGCATCTGAAGAACTAATAATAATAATAATAATAATAATAATAATAATAATTATAAAAATAATAATAATAACATTAATAATAATAATAATAATAATAATAGTAATAATAATAATATTAATAATAAAACAAAGTGTAGCTATTTGAGTTAATGACTATTGAAGTGTATGAATAGTGTATGAAAGGGAGATAACATTATATTTGTTAGTTTATTTGTCATGTAACGGTTATCTTCGCTTTCTGATGTCTACCATAATATTTATACAATTTTCAATATATTTCGGAAAAAAACAGAGTTAAATCTTTAATAGCTACACAATCATATTATTTCATAAAAAATCATGGTAACCATTTTAACGAAAAAAAATATTGTTAAAGTTATTTAAAGTTATTTAAAGTTATGTTAACGTGCGTGATTTCATTAAATCCAACCCGATGTTATCAAATATTGAAATTAACACAAACACATGTAATAAAATTAAGCGTTTATCAAGATGTTTTATACGTCATCATGATCCAATATACATAATTTATCTTCTGCAATCATCTGTCACAAAATGCTATGAAAGGTTATCATATGTTAAAAAAAGAAGTTATCATAAAGCACCAATAATAAGCGTATGTTATGAAATGTTATAATAAATAGATAATAAAAAATGACAGGCTATAATAAATAAATAATACAATATTTTAAAATTTTAATATGCTATGTCGTTGGTTATCGTCGGGTTTTACAATTTTGTTATGTTGGTGAGGTGAAGACTTATGTCTTATGTTGTTTCATACTGTTTTGGTGACACTTTTGCTTGTGTCCCTTGTTGTTTTCTCGTCTACGGTAAGTATCTTCCCCATTGCCTCTAGTTTTTATTTCTTTGATTACTCCCCACCCCCTCCCCCGGTCTCCTGTCCCCTTCCCCTTTGTGGGCCTATTTTAATTTCTTTGAATTCCTAATCAGTTACAAATTAATTATCATTTAATGATTAACCTGTCCGTGCTCTGTCTTTGCCCTGTCCTGTTTTTGTTTGGGGTCCCCCTGGGCTCCTTGCCATTGGTTCTTGTTGCTGGGTCATGTGGGGGTTGCGTTCATTGAACGCCGCCTTTCCTTGTTGATCTTGTTTATCATATTTTAGTCCCTGGCTAATGTGAAATTCACCGAAACAGAATGTCATAATGAATAAAGCGTAAAGCGTTTCACTAAAAAAATTAAGATATTCACCGGAATCATAAAAAAATAATGATTTGATTTATGACAGAATTAAAATTCCTTATTGTCAGCATTGTCTGTTTTCCTCTAACACGCATAATACATGTATAAAGCCTAAATATGCTAATCGCAAACGTCATAAGTTTTCATGTTTTTTTTCCAGCAATTGTACATTCAAATGCATTATTTGAATGCTTATTTCATAGTACCGGTTGTATTTTTGCCGCCTGAATCTGTAATTTACATTACATTATGTTTTATTATGGTAATTTATTTTATTTATCGGCTAGTACCAATTATCTTGAAAATGATTAGCTTCAAATAATATACGGTTGAATTTAATGTAATGCTACCCTGTTTTATGACGTAATTGATTTAAAATATCATCTAGATTCGAGATCAATGTTTCTTTCCATTAACTGTCGGACGCAACATATGTAAACTGTTAGTCTTAATATACTATCAAATTGAATCTTGTGTTGTCATAATATTATTATCATAGTGAAGTAATAATATTTTTAGATATTATCTGGAACTATGTGTACCCCAGTAAATAAGGAATCGTAATCGTTATAAGCTTCATCGATTCCAACACAACCACCGACATAAACCTCATCATTTGTTTTTAAATGAAACGTTCCGGACACACTAATAGCATAACCATCTTTTTTATCCCCATGCGGATACCCTCTAGACCCTACTGTACGTAAATTATTCAAATAAATTTGACATTGCATTACATCTGTACTTGAATGTCCTTTTGCAATATGAAAAGAGAACATGTATATTCCGGGATACCTGCATGTAAATTTTCCAGTAAATGTGTGATATGCGCTGTTATAGAGTTGAATTATTTCCGGAAATTTAGCAATGCTATTTCCATTTAAACCAGATGCTGTAAAGAATACTCTCTGGTCTGAAATAAATAATAAATACGCATGTTCATTTTTATGCTTTCAATATTTCAAAGAAAGTATCTTTAACTAATATTATGAATATTTTACGGAACATAACATACAAGTAGAGATAAATAAAGAAGCCCTAAAGAAAGCTCAACAAGACAAAATTGAAAATATTGCAGGCTCGTTTGATTGAGCCTGTTCGTGGACGGTAATGGAAAGTGCAAGTTACCGTCTATGCCCGCTAGCACTGGCTTAAGTAGAATTCAACATTTAATCATGGAAATGATGAAATTTTGAAGTGAACTTTCAATGTGACACTTTCGTGCATTCCATCGTGCGATTCCATGAAAAACGTCGTATGGTCCCCAAGGAAAAGAATGCGTGTTCCCTAAACGAGAAAACAATAGGCGGAACTAAATAAAATGGAATTTTGAAAGGGGATCAGATGTTATGAAGCCTTCATATCACAGATATTACGTCAAAAGACAAATTTAAAAAGCAGACAACATATCCTAAGGGTGATTCAACATTATTCAAGTAGTATTATTGTAATCATCCAACTAGTAAAATGCAAAACAGTAGAAACTAAAAGCACCACAAACACTACCATAATGTCCTGCTGAACGATCAGTAAGGATCGAATATATAACATCCCTAATTGATTGTACGGGCGACTTTGATCACTTTGTTTCCAAATTTTTTTACAGCCTGCACACGGCACAAACAACGCTGATGTGGCGATAGAATAGAGAGAAACAAAGAATCCCTTAAGAAAGGTCAACACGCCAAAGTTGAAAATGTTGCAGGCTCGGATTGACTGATGGTGGTTATCATGGAACCTTCAATGTGACAATTTCGTGTCACTAACATAAACGCTTTTGTCAAATAAAGCTTACATGTATTTGCCATGTAATATAACCATACCGGTGTAATATAACATTGCTAGAAGTGTAAATCGTCAGTTTATATATTTTTGTTATATTCATGTGATCAAAAAGAATCGCACATTCGTTGTCATATTATTTAAAATTTCATGAACAAGTCCTAGACAATTTTATAAGGTCGCTTTAAACAATTGTTCTTGAACTCGTTTTATAAAAATATATACAGCATGCGGCCCTATATATAAAAATATAACAAATGCTAATTAATGTCCTATTTTGCCCCAGAAAATGTATATTTCTCAATTTCCTGAACCATATTTTTCATCGGTTCCTTTTTGTTTTGCAATAAATACATTAATAATGAATTGGTATTTTGTATGGAAGTCAAAGTCTAAGTTTTGCCCCCTTTGTGAAAATTTATTTCATATCAATCGCAAATCTCTCCAATTACAAAATTGTCTAGCATAGAGGCGGTGGTTGAACCGAGCTCTTGTTATTTCAACGTGGTCCGGAGTGATAACTACCAAAACCACCACAAACTTAGGCAATTTACTGGATAGGTACATAAGGTATTCCGCCTCGATAATGCTTGCATGTGCCTTTTGACCTTTATGATTTCAGGTTATCTTACAACCCGGACAAAATGGCATATGAATATTAATAATGTTACCTGGACATGTGTTCCTGTTACAGACTGCTATTTGTAAAGGGGAGCCTTCACAATGCTGTCCTTTGAGAGATGGCTTGGGCTGTGTGCACGTTCTAGACCTTATCGTTACTCCTCTACCACACGTGTCACTGCACGGGCCAAAACTTCCCCAACTACTCCACCCTCCGTCTTAAACAATAGATTCTTCATTAACTCATTTTATTTTTAAGAGTTTTATCTTCATAAAAAAAACATATACACCTTTCTACAGAAAAATCTGTAAAATATTTGATATCGTCCGTCCTTATACATTTACACAGTGTATATAGCTGAATCTGTATACCATGTAATATATACGTTTTGGAATGAATTATATATAAAACTAAACTATCAGAAAATTCCTGTCAATTGATAGAAACGTCATCTTTTGAGGTATAAGCATATACTAATTGTTTCCCGAGGGTGATTTTTTAAATATGGTGCACAATCAGCGTTTGACTAGAAAACAATGCAATTAACAGTAAGGAAAACTCATTAATTATGCACAAACATGCCTCAGGCCATATAACCGTGCACAATGAATGGTTCCACAGGCTTAATCAAAGCAAATCAATTATTTACATATATTTATACTGTTGAAGTTGCTTCTGAGGGATCTGCCTCTTTTCAATATTTTTGAAAATTGTTCGTTTCCCGGAACACGAGTTAGAGGACTTTCAACCAGGAATAATTTCACTCTTAAAAATGGGTTTTACGTTTCGAATAAAACAACTTAAACGTTTACAGCAGCAGTTGGCGAAGATAACAAGATGGTCACATAAAAATTGTTGCTAACCTTTAACCTTTAAAGCAGCATCCATCAGATGCATGCTTATTTTCATGAAAATTTAGAAATTTATTTTAAAGTTTAATTTTGTTACGCGAACAAAGAAAGTAATCTGCACATTGCACACGGCACATACAACCGAAGTTAATTTCCAACACGAGGTCAAATTAGTAGTTACACTCACAGTAGATTATGGTAATATATATCGCAAAATCAGTATTTATCGCATATTACTTGAATCCTAAATCATTTTACTTTGAATCTGAAATTAAAATTAATACGCTTGTCTCCAGTTAAATATTCTTTAAATACTTTCGCTAAATAATATTAAGGTATGCTGCTTTAATGCATTTTCGTATATATACAGTAAAATTAATCAAATGAAGACTACCTGTCTCGTCCTTTAGTGTTATATCCTCCAGATTTGATATCGTTTTCCTTATCTTAGAAAATTCATTTTCTATATCATCAAAGCTTGACTCCACGCCAATGTTATGGTAATCCATGGTGTTATTAATATTTATTACTTGTTGGTTCAATTCGGCTGTAAATTTTTTGTTTTCAATAGCAACTTCTTTTTTGAACTCGTCGATAAGTTGTCCAGATGTGATTGTTAAGTTTACACAGTAGTCTTCAATATTCTTTATCTTTTCATTCATTTCAAGTTCCATATTCAATCTTTTTATTTTTTCTCCTTGGAATGCCTTTTTGATAGTTCTATGTAACTGTACCCTCGCGTTTTCACGTCCATCGTTCATGTCAAGGAGATTTTCGGTTTTGTTTGAAACTAAAGCGAGTTTAGATTCAATCTTGTCTATGCGTTGTCCATGTTTTATATCATCCGTCTTGTTTTGTATATATGATTCAAACTGTGGTACTATTCTGGCCAGTGTTGATTCGATTGTCTCTATTCTTTTGATATCATTTTGTGTTTTGTCATGACTGGGATTTTGGTCTTTTGTCATGTCGGAAACTGAAATTAGGCAAATAAATAATGATGTTATATAACATTTATGATTGCAGCAAAACTACACTTGTGTTTTTTAATGATTCTTTATAAAAACATTTAAACGTTTAAATTTGATATGTTTTTCACAAGTTATCAATCTCTAAAGTTTCGATAGGTTTAACCCCATTTTATCAAGATGAATGCCGATTATTCTAGAAATCACGTATTTACCTTTTTACCGTTTTGCTTAACATTAAGATATTTTAGACACTGACAGTATATCTCATCGCTAAATTAAAGCACTGTTTTGAGTTCGGATGCAAGGGATTAATATTGAATGATATAATAATGCGCATCCAAACAACAAACAGTTATTTTTATCAAGCGATGCTTTGAAGATATTGTGTTCAACTCTTGCAATAAACTCAATATTTAACTTTCACTTATTCAATAGCCTCTATTTATCAAGCCATAAAATTACTGGTTTGAATATATTGTTTCGATTCTAACATGACATCAACGAATAAATGCTGCTGTAACTGATATCAATCTAAAATGTGCCTGATTTGTTTCCGTACGTTTCTTCAGCAAGTCGCACAGAACGTCAACAGTGGTATAACTCACACTTTCGATTATTCTGTGTTCATTATGGAAAAAATCGGGTCGTGTTAGTTTTTTAAATATCTTAAGAAAATGACGTATTTGACGTCAACAATTGTAATCATTCAAGAGTTTGTGATGACGTTTTGCATTCATATAGTTAGAAATAATAACATTTACATTAATAATAATAACTCTTATAATCATTACCCCATCACCATGATTTAAATAATAAAAGGCACATTTTACAAATTTCCCACGTTCACAAAAAATGATTAAAAAACCCAATGAAGGCATAGAAATGTTTTATGTGATAAATATTGATTATGTTCTAAGTGGTGAACACTTGCATGATGAATGATTATATTTTGTTCTAGAACATTTTATTATGTGCTATATAAATATATGTTATATCGAATTATGTATCTCACATTTGCCAACATCATCCAATATTAATTATTTGATTATTTCTTTGCCTGATGCTGTATCTGATACAAAACACTGTCAATATAATTATTTATTTTGTAACAATCTTTTCATTACATACCAATATATTTTAAATATAATTACACAATTAGAAGCAATTATGATGGTATTAAATAATAATTAAATAATAATAATGTTAAAGAAAATGAAAAAAATCAAACAAAAATAAATCAAATAAAAAATAAAAATAAACAAAAGAAAATAAATGTTCAAAAATAGACAAAAGGGATCATGAATAAGATACAAATTAGGTAGATTATTAAACTAATGATTAAGAATAAATAAAAAAAGCTATGACACATAAACTGAATTCAAACATGTACTTTTTGTATTATAAATTCAAATTAGGGCTGCATTTTGTGAATCGTCATGTTATTTTTATTAATATTAGCTCTAATTTTGATAAACAAAACCAGAATTAAAATTGCAGTGACGACCTGTGATGTAGCTTGACAGCACAATCTTACACATTTAAACATCAATATTATGGCATTCTAATTATTTTTATTTAGCCTAATAATATATTTGATATTGTAACACCAGGAAAATGCTCCCTATGAAAAACTAAATTAACTTGAAAAAAAAGAACACAGTCTACCTGTTTCTGAATGTTGGTGATTCATCGTCTTAGAATTTTTGCTCGATGCTTCCAACCTTCGCAGGCGTGATGCCATTTTAGAGTTTTCAACTTTGATTTGAAATAACTCTTTTTGCATTACTTCCTGTACAGCAGCTATAGTGTTACAATCACATTCCATGTTACCATTAACACTATCAAACATAAGTAGTAAAATCAACTGAAAGAAATGTATGTTATACATCTTGAAACGAACCATATTCAAAATTTACAAAGAAATTTCGTTGTGTTCTACGAGTAATGTAAAACATGATAGGAGAGAAAACTGCGCAGCTGTATTAACATCACGAGTTGCATTCTGACAAGGTTCCAGATTCTTATAAACTACGTCATATCCTTGGCATATTTATTTTTTCAGATGTAAACAACATACACCTGAACATGCGTAACAAGAAACATATGCGTTACAAAACTTTGATGTAAGGCATGACGGCACTTTATTGTGTTAATTTGTTTCAATGATGTAATATAAATCTAGAAGTTGAGTGAAAGAAAATAAATAAACACAACTGTTATCTTCGTTTATCTTCAACAAAGCTAAGAAAACGGTGAAAAAGAAATATACGTTTGATTTTGTCCAGACTACCAAAATTACTTTTATAAGCATAAAAAATCTGGAACCTCATTATCCCGATAACGGAAGTACACTTTCTGTTTGCATGAGAATCAATCACCGCATTTGGATCATTAGTCGATCAATATTAAATCAACAAACATGGCTTTAAGTAGCAGTCCTAATCAAATAGTATAATTGCGCATTGTAACAGATTTTTTACACTCAGATTTAATCTATTTATGAGATATGATTCCTGTTTTCTAAACGCCATGCCTAATGCACCGTGAAGCTTAAAGTGTGTTGCACAGGAACATCTCATATTGATGTGTTCATATTGATGTGTTCAGAAAAGCAAATATAACACTGTGACGTAGCGCATACACGAGCTGATTAAAGTCTTCATTTGCATGTTAAAAAATGTGTACGAACTTAAGTGTTACGATGGGGTTTTCCATTTAAAAACGTTATTGATGAACAATATTTGATTAGATTTACATCAATACTGTTACAATGGGTAATGAAACTGTAGATAGCTTGGTTTTTAGTCTAACGGCAAAATATTTTGCATATTTATTTAATGCAAGTTTAAATTACAATATCAACACGTAATGTTCTTTTTATTCATGATAATATAACATAACAAAATAAAGTAATAAAAATTCATAAGATATTATATTATGGTATTTACGTTTTATAATTTAAACATTGACTTACAATACCAACTATTAATGTTTATTCTATTTTGCACATGATGATAAAACATGAAAACATGAAAGAACATCAATGAAAGAATCATTAATCGTAAGATATTATAGCACGATATTAGCGTTTTAACTTTTATTCATTCACTTAAAGTTCCAAATCTTGATATTCTTTATTTTGCACATGACGATTAAACATAAAACCATAAAAAGCTCATTCATCGTTATCGTACGGTGTATCATTTATCAGTCGTGGGAGAAACGGAATCTTTATAAAAGCAGCATAATTATGGTGACATGGTGCCTTATTATAATTTACTTAAATTAACGTTATTGCAAACTGCAGATTTGCTTTGCTTAAAAAAATTGCCCTTCTTATCATCTCTATAAAAGATGTTAACATTGCAAATAAATTGCCAAAAGGTTTTGTTTCACAGATGTGAGATATAAAATATAAAAGCTTTATTTTGCTACTTATACTTTTCTCTGAATATCTTTTTTTAACAAATTTCAATAAAAATAAGGTGTCTAGAAAAAAATAGTGAGCTTGTAGAGACGACTAAATTAGTTTAAATTACCCGAGTCTATGAATCTCTCAGCTTTTGCAGTTGGTGTTGTTTATGCCCCTGATATTACAATAAGTTTGTAACACCCGAGTTTAGCTAAATTACATCTTTTCTGTTTTGGCGCAATATTAACTTAAGTCTGATGGTGAGCAATAAAAATCAAATTGTATCATATTTTATCAAATGTTATGATATGTAATCAAATGCACTTTATCTATTATGTCATGTGTTATTTAATGTTATCATATTTCATTGAATAGTATATATTATCTTGTGTTATGAAACGTTATCATGTCTATTTAAAGTATTTAGAGAGTTATCAATACTCCAGTTAATGATGAATACTTATGATCGGGGGCTGTATGAGTTGCATTACACGCACTCACATACACAACAACGTTCCAGACAAACTGACCGAATTACCATCTCTGCCCTCTGTATGTGGATGTTCTATCGCCCCAAGTATACGATTATTATTTCTAACAAGGTAACATCGAGTGTTATGATTTTTATCAACCCATATTTTTGAAATTTGAAAAGAGAATATATATATTCCGGGAACCTCGCAAGTGAATTTCCGCTTAAATTGTCATATCCGTTACCATGGTATATGTTCGGAAACGTTGCGATGCCACTTCCAGTTATACCATATGCCGTAAAAATGTTCTTCTGTCTAAAAATAATATAAGAAATAATCTTATAATTCTTAAATGCAAAGTGTGAAAAACAGTTTAGATAATTTCGTAATTATTCAATAAACGTATCTTGCAATTCTTATATATTGAGAATAAATATCAAAAAGTCTCCCAACACACATACCAACTTCTAAATACTAAGCTAAACTTATATAAATTATAACCGACATAATATGAAAGGAGGTACAATGTCATATCACACGCTTCTGTTATGTTATTAAACTTCCTCGTAAGAAACATATCCATTAAACTAACAGGATGTCCCAACTACTCCACTCTCCGTCTAATAAACGATCATTTGTTCTTTATAAATGTTAATTAAAATAAGCAAATACATGTTCAATCAAGTAAATATGACCCCATATTTTGGTTTGCGTACAAAATTCATTTACACCTTTATCGATGTTAGATATTGGTCAACTTCTTGATTGAAATAATGCAAGTATGATAGCGTGAACAGAGATATAAATTGCAAGAAGTAGCGTATACTATCTCTTTTATTATTTTAAATTAATATCCATGCCATCATAACTAATTTATTGAGAATATAAAAGCTACCGCTACAATTATTTCAGTTTTTAGTCGTATTTGTATGCAAGTAAAATGTTCTGTTTGGACATAAACATGGAAGAAAATGATCATTTAGCCAAGTATTGATAGACGTATTTAATTTGTATATTGATGCTCTAGTGTCCCTTTTTTACGAACATTAATTGCTTACGGGGCTATCAAAATTAATTATCAAATTAACATAACTGTACAATGCAAATCTTGTTGGCTTTTGTTGTAAAAAGAACATCAAAAGTTGCAGCAACAGTATCAAGTTGAAAGGTAATTAACAAATACCCATAACAAACGAATAAAGCTACTGCAAATATTTGTCCGCTTTTTAAGTAAATGCTTAAAATAAGTGCATTCCTTATGGTTATAAAATGGTAAATGTCGGGTGGCGGGCGGCGGGGAAAAACTTTTCGTAACAGTTTTCTCAGCAACTTCTTATCACAGCCTCTTGATATTTGGCATACAACATTGATACGTGGTCCCATACTGTGGGATTCGATTTCAGGTCTGTTGCTTATCCAATTCCTGTTAAAATAGCTGCCGGTTTCTTTTTGCCACGCCAGTTTTTGGCAAATTCAACCCCTATTTTTACGCGCTTTAAAAAAATGAAAACTATCTTAAATTGTCATATTTTACTAAATGGTTTAAAAAGTTAATATGTTTTGTTTTTTTCTATCTTTAATACTTTTTTTGTAAAAATGCATTGAAAGTTTGCATTTGCCATGGCAA